CCCATGACGGCTCGCCAAGTGAGCTTCGAGACGTGTAAATTACTGCCTCTGCTCATGGTGCTAATACGTTTTGCCATACCAGGTCGCAGGATCGTCATACTAACTGATACCCGTGTTAATCAGAATATTACGAGTCTCCATCATACCACGCATAAGGCTAAGACTACTACTGGTACTCATATTTATTAATACCAATAATACTCGTAATGAAACTGTCAACATGGATACTACCAGCCATAATCTTACGACCGATGCTAGTATCAACGATATTCGTACATATCAATAGAAGGAACATGCTACTAGAACGAATTATTTTAGCGCTACTATTTGTACGATTACCACTTATCGTAATACGCATACTATTCCGAAAACTAATAATAAATATAATCTTCGTAATGAGGGAAGGAAGAGGAACAGGATGATGAAGAGGAGGAGGGGGAGGAGGAGGAGGAGGGTAAGGAGGGGAAACGGGAGTGGACAGGAGTGAAGGGCGTAATCGGGAAAGGAGGCAGGTATGGATTGTGCAGTGGGGTGCGAGGGGAGCTGCTTAGAGGGGTAGCGGGCGGTGACAATGGAGCAAACGTTGGTGGAAAACGAAGAATAAGGATGGGGATGTGAAGGAGGGTGCGGGAGGGGGGGTGGGATGGTGGGGAGGGGAGTGGGTCGGGAGTGGAGGCGAGGGAGGGATGAGGGGTAGGGAAAGGGGGAGGGGAGGGAGGGATGGGTTGGAGGGGAGTGGATGGTTGGGAAGGGACCTCTTATTTTTGTCCTTCCCTCCTCCCATCCTCCTGCTCTTCTTCTTTGTCCTCCACATCCTCCTCCTCCTCCTTCCTCCTGCCCCTCCCCTCCCCCCTCCTGCTACTCCTCCTTCCTCAACCTCTTCCACCCCCTTCCTCCCGAAACTCCCACCAACAGCAACGACAGCCGATGGAGGCTCTTGGGGCCCGCCCCAACTCAGAGACTGGCTGCCGCTGGGGCCCGCTGACCAGCTCAGCGTGCCTCCTGCCCGCGAGTGGCAGCCCCCTCCCTCCGTGCCCTCCCGCCGAAGGCGGGGGGAGGAGGAGGAGGAGGAGGAGGAGGAGGAGGAGGAGGAGGAGGAGGAGGAGGAGGAGGAGGAGGAGAGGAGGCGCAGGAAGGAGGAGGAGGAGGAGAGGAGGAGGAGGGCGGAGGGGAGGAGGAGGAGGAGGAGAGGAGGAGGAGGAGGGAGGAGGAGGAGGAGGAGGAGGAGAGGAGGAGGAGGAGGAGGAGGAGGAGGAGGAGGGAGGAGGAGTGAGGAGGAGGAGGAGGAGCAGGAGGAGGAGGAGGAGGGGAGGAGGAGGAGGAGGAGGAGGCGGAGGAGGAGGAGGAGGCAGGAGGAGGAGGAGGAGGAGGAGGAGGAGGCAGAGGCGAGAGACGTGGGCGTGGCGCCTCAGGAGAGGGGACGCGGGGGGGGTTGGGGGTTATGGGCTCGAGACTGCAGGATGACCATGGAGGAGGCTAAAGCCGACGGGCCGTGGCCCCTCGAGGACGGGAGCTGGCCAGTCGCTGCGGCCGCGTTGCGGTGAGGTGGGTCGCCTGCGCATCGCTTCCCGTGTTTCGTTTTCCTCCATGCCCTACCGCCGGAGAGTGGCCAATTCCACGACGGAGGAGGAGGTGGAGGAGGTGGAGGAGGAGGAGGAGGAGGAAGAGGAGGAGGAGGAGGAGGAGGGCCGTGGAACAGGGGGGGGCGAGGAGGGGGGCGAGGAGGAGGAGGATGAGGAGGAGGAGGCGGAGGAGGAGGAGGAGGCGGAGGAGGAGGAGGAGCAGGAGAAGGAGGAGGAGGAGGAGGAGGAGCAGGAGCAGGAGGAGCAGGACCAGGAGGAGCAGGAGCAGGGGGATATGGGCGATGACAGCCCTCTCACTCGACCCTCGTCCCGCTGCCCCTCCCCCTTGGCGTGGGCTTCGCCGGTGCCCGCTGCCCCCGTCCCCACTTGCTGCCGCCGACGACGAAGACGGAGACGGCGACGACGACGACGAACACGACGACGAACACGACGACGGCGGCGACGGCGGCGGCGGCGGCGACGACGAACACCACGACGACGACGACGACGATGACGACGGTGGCGGCGGCGACAACGAGGGCGGCGGCGGCGGCGACGACGACGACGACGGCAGCGGCGACGACGACGACCGCGACGACGACGACGACGGCGACGGCGGCGGCGGCGGCGGCGACGACGAACACCACGACGACGACAACGACGATGACGCCGACGGCGGCGGCGGCGACGACGACGACGACGGTGCCGACGTCGACGACGACCACGACGACGACGCCGTGAGGACATCGACGTCGACGTCGGCGATGTCAGGCGGCGTCTGCGGCGACGGCCCCCCCAGAAGGGCGCCGCGCCAGCTGGCGCGGCGACGGCCTCGCTCGCAGGGGCAGTGGCTGTGGGAGCCGCGAGCCGCCTTCGGCGGTCTTCGCCGCCCTTCGCCGCCCTTCGCCGTCGCCGTCGCCTTCGTCGCTGTCGTCGCCGCCTCCGCCGCCGCCGTCGTCGTCGTTGTCGTCGTCGTCGTCGTCGTCATCGCCGTGGTGACCGTCGTGGTCGTCGTGGTCGTCGTGGTCGTCGTCGTCGTCGTCGCCGTCGCCGCCGACGCCGCCTTCGTCGTCGTCGTCGTGGTTGTCTACTTCTGCTTCTTCTTCTCCTTCTTCTTTTTTCGCCGTCGTCGTCGGCGGTGACGGCCGCGGCGTCGTGGTCGTCGTCGTCGTCCTCGTCGTCGGCGTCGGCGTCGGCGTCGGCGTCGTCGTCGTCGTCGTCGTCGTCGTCGTCGTCGGCGTCACTCTCGCCGTCGGCGTCGTCGTCGCCGTCGTCGTCGCCGTCGTCGTCGCCGTCGCCGCCGTCGTCGTCGTCGTCGTCGTCGTCGTCGTCGTCGTCGTCGTTGTCGTTGTTGTCGTGCTCATATTGTCGTCGTTGTCGTCGTCGTCGTCGTCGCCGTCGTCGAATACTCATTTCTAGAGAATGACTACTGCTGGGGGGGAGAGGCTGCTGCTGCGGGCGCTGCGAGCGCGGGCGGCTTCTTCGCCGCACTCCTCCGCCTCCTCCGCCTCCTCCTGTCTCCTCCTCCTCCTCCTCCTCCTCCTCCTCCTACCTCCTCCTCCTCCTCCGGAAGCTCCGCGGTCGCCGTCTGCGGATCTCCGGAAGCGGCTCCGCGCGCTCTCGCCCCGACGCCGGCGGCATTCTCGCTTTCGGAGCGGGGGCTCCCGCGCGCGAGCGCCGGCCGGAGTGTACAGGTGGGCCCTTGGAGGCCCGACGGCGACGGCCTCGGCTCCCGCCTCGATGCTCCCGCACAGTTTGCCCTTAACTCGGGCGTGTTCCTCAACATAGAAATAGTTAAGCAAAATGTTTTTAATAGTTAAGCAACAGTTAAACATAGCTCGGGCGTGCTCCTCAACATAAAGATAGTTAAGCAATAGTTAAAACTAGTTAAAAATAGTTGCACATAGTCCATGGGCGATGTGTTTCCCAACCGTCCTGTGGTGTTGGGTCCTCGTGTTGAAGAAGCGGCCCCCGCGTCTCCTCCTCCCGTGCCCCCCCCCCCCCACGTGGGGGTACCACATGCGTCCGCCACACCCAGTACAGCGTTTCGTGGAGCTCCACGTGAGGCCCCAGTGGGGGTACCACATGCGTCCGCCACACCCAGTACAGCGTTTCGTGGCCCCATAGGGGGCCCCACCCAAGGCCCCAGTGGGCGTGGTCACATGCGTCCGCCACACCCAGTACAGCGTTTCGTGGCCCCATGGGGAGCTCCAACGGAGGCCCCAGTAGGGGTGGCCGCATGCGTCCGCCACACCCCGTACAGCGTTTCGTGGCTCGTGGCCAGTGGGACCGTCCGCATGCGTCCCGGAAGCCGAATTTGGCATTTTCATTCACCCAGTACATCGTTTCGTGGCCCCATGGGGAGCTCCACCGATGCCCCCAGTGGGACCGCCCGCATGCGTCCCGCACGCGCAATTTGACATTTTCACCCTCCCGGTACAGCGTTTCGTGGCCCCAACAGGGAGCTCCACCGAAGCCCCCAGTGGGCCTGCCCACATGCGCCCCGGAAGCCCAATTTGGCATTATCACCCACCCAGTACAGCGTTTCGTGGCCCCATCAGGAGCTCCACCGAAGCCCCCAGTGGGACCGTCCGCATGCGTCCCACACACCCAATTTGGCATGTTCACCCACCCAGTACAGCGTTTCGTGGCCCCATAGGGAGCTCCATCGACGGGCCCAGTGCTACCGCCCGCATGCGTTCCCCCCCATCCAGTGCAGCGCTTCGTGGCCCCATAGGGAGCTTCACCGAAGAAGATATTCACAATTGCGGTACCCACAACTGCATATGGTTGGGTCCATCGCCAGGATAATCTTGTATTTCCTAACCATCCTGTGGTGTTGGGTCCTCGTTTTGAAGAGACGGTCCCCGCGTCTCCTCCTCCTCCTCCTCCTCCTCCTCCTCCTCCTCCTCCTCCTCCCTCCCCCTCCACCCTCCTCATGGGGACCACCTGCACCGCCCAAGTAGGGCCCTCCTCGAGGAGGAGGAGGAGGAGGAGGAGGAGGAGGAGGAGGAGGAGGATGGGGAGGGATCTGTCGCCAGCATTGGGCTTCAGGACCGACACGAACGAACTCCGAAGACCCAGCAGTCGTCTGACACCCTGTGGATCTCGGCCGCTTAAGTGACCGCAGGAAGTGGACCAGAGACCCAGATGTTTTTGGTTCTCCTCCCCAAGGTCATACTCGTCCTGCCGAGTCTGGCAGCTCGAGCTTTAGCAGCGGCCCTGCGCTTTTTACCCTTGGCTCCCAGTCTGCGGTGACGCAGCGTACCTCCAGCAGAGTCGTTTGTGCCAAGGTTAGGCGCGGCACGAACGAGGGGTTCTGTCAAAGAGGGTCCTAGCTGCGCGCGGATATCTTCACCCAGGGCCTTGTTGGAAGTCAAAGGGATGGCTTTGTCAGCTGCAAGAGAGGCCCCAATATCCTCCGTGACAGCTATATGCAACTGCTTAGACCCCTCGACCACACCTTCCGACACTTCCTGGTAAGCGCCAACAGCGTGGATGACATTATCACCAATGTAAAGACTGTAGTGAACGTACGGGTGCCATCGCATACTATCTAACCCAGCCAACGAATTGACTCGAATGAAGGTGGGCGAATGGGCACCCCGCCACCACCCCATTAACAGCAAACAACGCAGAGGACAGGGTACCGTCCAGCGAAAGGTGGCGTGGGCCCCGATAGGCGTGGCGCGCGAGCCTGGCAAGACGGATCGGGAAATTGTGCTGCTGACACCGTTCAAGGACTTGCTGAATGGAAAGTCTCTCATAGTACTGGAGGAAATCCCATAGAAGCGTGACAGAGCACATTCCATCCGCCACCCCCCCCCTTCGGAGATGAGGGCCTGGCGCCAGACTGTACCCGCCGCGCCCATGCGCTTCCCAGCCGCATACCACGGGCGATGGTTTCCCTTTTCCCACTGGACCGCACGTGGCCGTCGCAGCTTTCGTCGGAGCCTGTAGGGGCCCGAAAAAACCCAATGGGGCAGAACCCCCCTACAGGCTTCGGGAGAAGCATAGTGGCCACAGTATGCAGTTGAGTGGGTACAAGAGAAGAACTGATGTCCATCACGTGAAAGGGGTCTCCGAGGCAGGAGAGGGCAACGTCGGACAAACAACGGAAATGCCTCATGTGGATTCCGTCCGTGCTGGCGGCAGACCTTTCCTTGTTGGGTCGACTGGCCATCCTGAAATCCTCGACCCCAGGCAAATCAAGAACAGGGGCAGGCGCGAAATCAGAGGTCGGCGGGGGCGGCTCGATGGAGGCATCCCAGAGGGCCCTGAACTCAGCCGCTTCGCTGGACAAAACGCTCAAAGGGTCACTGACTATGACCTTGTCATCCGCGATGACAGCGGTCGGCGACCATGGCTCCGGCTCCGAAGTGACCTGATGCACCCTCCTCGCTCCTCTTCCAATCCCGACCTTAACCCATTCCTTCCGATCTGCCCGTCCCCTGTCTCTGGCGGCGAGAGCCGCCGCGTCCGCCGCCGCGGCGACCTTGGCTGACGCGGCCTTGGCTGCGTCGCTGGCCTCGGTGCCTTGCTTGACCTTAGCGGCAAAGTCAAAAACCTCAAGGAACAAGGCGCCCTGCTCTCCCTGGTTTAGGGTTTAGGGTTTAGGGTTTAGGGTTTAGGGTTTAGGGTTTAGGGTTTAGGGTTTAGGGCAGGCGGCGAGAGCAGGGTCGGCTTGGCCTCTTCAGAATCATGGGGCGAGGGAGGCCTCAAGCACTCGAACCGGGATGGAAAGCTTGGGATGAGGCCACTGGGTGGCATGCAGATCGGGGTGCCTTGGACTTTTCACATCCATATCCACGATCGACTTCCAATGGCTTTTTTTGTGTGTGGTGGGGGGGGCGGCCCCGCATTCCCATCTTAGACAAAGTCGTGCTCGCAATCGTGCAACATTTTTGTTCGATCAAATCGGCCCAAGACGCATGCGCACGAGACGAACAATCAGCAGTGTCCACGCCCTTGCCAGCCTTAGCAGCAATGGGAGCTTCCTGGATCTGCGAATTCACAGCATCGTAGGACGGTGGCGCGACAGGCGGGCCGACAATCCTATCGAGGCCAATCCGTGGCGGCTTCCGGAAAGACGTGGCTCTGAGGGTGCCAAGACGCGGAAAAAAGGGTGAGCACAACAGGCGACTGGGGGGTGAGATCGGAGGCGGTGTCGAACTCCACCGAGCTGGCAGCCTGGCCGAGGCCGCGGCTGGTGAGGAAATAGTGATTCATCTTCATGCCCCCGTCGTGGTGCAAGTACCCAGGGGTCGACGGCGCGAGGAGGATCCCGCGGGCGACTTCCGTATCCGATGTGTGCAGGTCCGTAGGTTCCACGCAAACATCTCCTCCCACGAGCCATGGCAATCCTGAAGCCGAAACGAAGTCGCCCACCGCCTGCAACGCGGACAAGTTGGGTTCGGCCAGCCCTTTTCCATGCTGGAGATACACAACGGGCAACTGTAATGGAGACTCCTCCAGGTACCTGCACAATGCAGCCGATGGCCCTGCCTTCGTGCAATGAGACCTGCCCAAGAGAATGCATCCCAAGAAAGCGTCTCACAACAACCGCCCCGCCTCCCCGAGTTCCATCATGGTTGCCTTGGGGGGCTGGGACCCACAGGGACTTACAACCGTGCCCAAGGGCCCACTCGGAGGCTTGATTTAGGTCTTCCCGAGATCGCTGGTGGTGTTCCTGCATGCGCACTACGTGAGACTTACGGGTCTTAAGGACATCTCGGCTTGAGCCCCATCCCGAGACCTTGGCCGTGGAAAAAGTCAAAGCCAACAAATCATCAGATGACGGGGATCCTATCAGCCCAGATCTAACCCAAGCATTGCCACCCAAACAGTCAATTGGGGC